TCAAGGGATGGATTTTATGTTTCAGTTTAAGTGAATCCATTTGTTTTCTTTTTAATGGGAACAGCACTGTGACTCTGCAAGAGTCAGAAATGAGCTCAGCAGCTGGAAACTGAAAAGCAGATATCCTAATGCTCCTGAGGCTGAGGTTTGTGAGTGGCTGCTGTAATGGTTATTTTGGTGATCCAAAGGCTGGCTCTCATTAGCCCTACTTTGTCATCACTGTACCTGTGCAGGGGACTTTGAACCCATCAACCATAGATTACCCATCTCTTTTAACAGAGTATGATGCTCCTTGCATTCACATTTGAGGTTTCTTGGGAAAAAATGGGGCATATAAAGGTCTACACATATTGTTAGATAGAATGCAATGCAGAGATGCTCCCATGCTCTGTTCTTTGTGCAGTAAACTTTCTAGAGGTGACAATGTGAACTAAGTTGAGAGGCAAGTGCTGAGATCTGGAGGGAACATCATTGCTTCGTGCTCTTGGCATTGCCCTTGCAGCCAGTCAGCACTGGGCTGGTTCACAGCTCTTCCACCTCTCCTGCAGGTCTTCACAGGCTTCATAGCGATCAGAGCTTTAATAGCTACTCATTTCTACCCAGAAACTTCGCAACTGAACCTCATGGACAAAAGGGTCTCCGCTGACAAAGGTGTACCCCAAGCTCCAGGTTCAGTCTGAAGCAATTCAAGGAGCCCTCCTGTTGGATTTTTCTCTGTTGCTTTCTACAGATTTCTGGAGTTTTGCGTTGTAGAAAGAACGATGCTCCTTTTATTCTGAGGCATATACAGTTTCATTGTTTTCCTGTTCAGTCTCTGTATCCTGTGGTGGCAAAACTTGGAGAGCCAGCTAACCAAGCTGGGACAGTTTTCCAGAGTACTGTGGAGGGGATTATATATGTCCATTACAAAAATAACTGGGTTTCTAAATATCCATCTTGTGGGGCACTCTTAGCTCAGTGTAACATTTTCATCATGAGTAACCAATTAAAAAGCTCAACTGGCAAATCTCTGTTAAAATGCCCATTTGGGAAAACTCCAGGCATAGCTCTATAGTGGCTCTGCTGGCAAATTATACCCAAAAAATGAACTTTACATTTCAGAAAGTAATATATTTTTGCATATTCTAAAAGCTATATCGTTTCTTATCTGGACCTGTTTCAATGTTTGATTTGACTCTGAATTCCCAGCAGAGGTGCCAGCACAAATGCTATTTCATGTTTGTCCTGGCTGTCTCAAAATAAAGCTGTCTGGAGTCAGGTGTGGGGCCCCAGATCCATCTGCACTGCTGCAGCCCTCCAACTATGTGAGGACGGAGTGAATGTGACCTTTCTCAAGTGCTTCGATGTGAATCTGCAGGACAGGAAAGTCCCTCCCTGTATAAGTGAAGGGATTGGATTCGACACCTGACCACTGAAGTACAGGCTTTTGTGAACAAGCAGAGAGCATTTCCAGTTTGCTTTGAAGAGGCTAATGTACTTCAGCTGTTCAACGCCTATAAAGTCAGGCCATTTATTTTGGTGCTTGGTCAGATGTGGGTTTCTAAGGTAAGAAACCAGCATGGATTTCAGTAAGGAAAATTTTCCTTAAAAATAGTAATGTTGTGAATGTATGATTTAACTCAAAATTTAGACTAGAAGTATGAGATATTTAACCATTTTCTCTTTCCGTATTTGCCCTTTACTCATCCTTCTCCCCATCCTGCCCATCAGATGAAAGCAAGAGGTGCACCCATGCAAATTCTGGAAGGTAGCACCTATCCCAGCAATGCATGGACTGTGAGGTAGGTCAGCCCCATCCTGGCACCTCCCTGGGAATTACTCACGTGCCTTTCTGCACAGAGAGTCTGCTGGCCAAAGTCTTCCTTCCAAAAAGCCCTGAAAAGCCAGAGTAAATTTGTAATTCATGTTATTGAGAGGCTTGGGGGTCACATGGAGTGTTCCAGTCAACACAATTTTGGTTTTCCTTTTTAAAACATTCTTAAAGCATTCTGCAGTCAGCTGTGTGGCAGCCAGCAGCCCTTGCTTCCTTCCACATCAGAACATGTAGGAGCATCTATTTTAGTTGGTAGAAAACAAAAACACCATCTTGATTTTCCCTTTGATCCCTCATATTTCCTACATGCTTTCCTCTCTGTTTATAGCATCTGACATAATTCCTTTGGTCAGATTTTATGCCTGAAGTCATTTAGGCCAATTTTAGCTTCTTTTTTTTTTTTTTTTTCTGGGCTTTGACGTCTCAAGCAACTTAATCTAGGTCAGCAAAGTACCTGCTGTTGAAAGGAATTTTCTTGAGTAATGTTTTGATGTCAGAAGGGCCTTCCTCGGCATGTGCACATCGGAGGTCACCCAGCGCGTACAGCATGGAAAGGGCAAGCCACTATTTGTTAAATATTGGTCAAAAAGCAGTCTGCAATGATGTATGTATATATACACATATTTAAAATTATTCTAAATGAAGGGCATTGTGATTTTTAAACGGCTGATGTAGTGTAAAAATTCCAGTTACGTTTTCTTTGGGAAGAATGTGCATAAGAAACACTTGGATTCAGGATCACACCGCAGAAGTAGCAACTACACCAGTTTCAAATAATTCCCAAGCTAAATCTAGTTTCTGAGTTTACCACTGTGTGAGTCCAATGAGCTCATTTGTGAGAACAACCACAGCATGTGTCCCATCGGTAGCTCATAGCAGGAACAAACCTGGTGTAGTTAATATTGACAGTGCTGACTTTTGCATCAAGTTCATAGTTCCCAATTTCTTTTTTATTACTTTAAGGTACATTTTTGAGGACCTTTATTATAACCCCCCAAAGCCAAACTCTTCCAGCCAGCAAAGGCAGCAGAACAGTTCTCTGCTCTGGCCTTTCATGGCTATGTCTCCTGGAAGCACCTAATGAAGCCACTAGGGCCAGGTAATTAGCTCTGTAGCTGAGGCAGAAATACCAGCTGCTGTGATTGTGGGAAAACTGAAGAAAAACACAAGATGTTGCATGAGCACCAGAACCCACAAGGTTTTTTTTTCTTGGTTCATCTTTCAAGGTTGATTTAATTTTGTATCTAAAAATGGGAAGCTCCAGATGAAGTTTTTCTTGTTGTTGAGTTCAGGTGTTTGCAGGGACCTCTCTTCTGCTCCTGCCCAACTGTTTTCACAAAAACTGAAGGAATTTAAATTGCTGTTTATCTGACCCTCTGTCAGATTTGATTAAGAAGGGTTCAAGCACAGCTGAGGTGGATCACAGGTATAAAGGCGGAAACTCAGAAAAATGTATAGTTCTTCATTTCCAAATGTCAAAAAAATGTGGGGATTGGCCAGTCTGTTCCCTAAATTTTTAGAAAATACCATGAATTGCATTCATCTGTTTCTTCTGTCCTTTCAAAAGAAGAAGCACAAGCCAACATTTCAGACTGGCTTGCAACATGCCCTGAACAATCTAATTTGAATGACATTACTGGAAACTAAGGCGATTGTGTATGTGCTTATTTGGCTCGTCACTGAGTAGTCTATCAGTAATACACTAACAAGTAGTGATATTCTTGCCCTTTTAAATTGACTTGCCTTAATTTGTTACATTTGGTTAACTGGTTTCTAATGGATTAAAGTGTGACACAATGGTTCTCAAATTGTGCTCTGCAGAGCATTTTTTGGTTGGCTAGATCGAACCCATGGTCATGAGATGCTGTTTTCCCTCATTTCCAGTTGAGAAGTTGGATTATGAGACTCTAAAAATATATTCTCATGTTTTCATTAAATTGTTTCTCCATGGTAGCAATTGTTATAGTTGCTGTGTTCATGCCTTTGATCGCTATTGGGAGGAGTGGTGTCTTCTGTGATTGGAAATAGATGAAGAACGGATCCAATCCAAATAAGTGTTTGCATGAGGGATGTATTTTTTTGTGGTGGAGAGAGAAATCTATTTACATGTGTATTAAGGGGAACACGCCTCACAAATTGTTTTTTGCCTTTTCTTCCTTCTCTGAAGTTCTAAAGCAGAAAGATTTACTTCATTCATTAGTTTTAAAACTTATGAAAATGAAAGGTGTGGGATTTATCTCTGGGAAGGTCTTACAGATCTGCATAAAATGTTTTGGTAAGCAAAGAATAATTTAAATTGTAACTGTTGAATTTCAGCAGAGATCTCTCTTATTCCAGCGTTTCTTCAGGCATCTGGGTTATGCAGGAGGTTGTCAAAACAAAGCTTTGAAAACCCAGAATAAAACACCTTTCCTTCTGCTTGCTCAGCTTTCCTCTGTTAAGAAGTGAGATTATGAGAGGTCACCGTTCAGTGATTTTCTCTGTTGTTACTGTCTTTCAAGGCAGGATAAAAAAAAACCAACAAAAGAAACTAAGGAGAATGTACATTAAATAAACATGCACATATGTAAATACAGGAATGTTTCATATCACAGTTTTAATAAATGAAAAAGAATAAATTAGGTGACTTTTTTCTTTCCCACTACCCCTTTCACAGTTCAATTTTAAGACATAAATTTGATCCTGAAGATGTCTCAGAAGCCCTTTTTTAACTAGGACTGATCAAAAACTGATTTACTCACCCTGAAACCTTTCTGGGATGTGTTAAAAAAACCCAAATAAAAATTCTCCAAATAGCCAAATAGCCAAATAGAAAAATTCAAGTGCTCTGCCCCAAAATTATGTATCTGAGAACAAAACATAAACCTATAAAATGGAAGGAAATTGAGATATCTTCATACATAAGCATTTTAAATTGAGTAATTTTTAAGAATATAATTCAATTAAATACCCAAATAAGAAGAATTTAATTTCAATTTTGAAGTAGATATTTGTCATTGTATGCAAAGTGCAAGAACACCCCACTTGAATCTTCACAGCGTGTTTGTAATGATAGTTGGTGCTCCCTGGAGATGGTCACCTGAGCTGAAATCTTTGTTAATCAAGGAAGAATCAGAATTATCTAAGATTTATTTCTTAGCCTTGCTCTTTTCTGGGGGTGAAAAGTGAACCTTTTTTCTCTTTACAGCTGTAAACATTGCAGTCCACATGAAGAGAAATCTATTTGAAAGTGGCTGAATAAAGTCAAGAAGGTAAATTAGAATCATCTGCTCTCCAAAGACTTTCTTGTCTCCATAAAACAATGCCCTCTCCTGCCTCCCAGGCTGTGACTAATTCTCTAACAGTCCCTTTGTTCCAAACAAAACTCTCATGTAGGCTGACCATATTTTAATGAACAAACACAGTGAAGATTGACTTTACAGGATTTTTTCCCCTCTTAACTTCAGTGGCAGCAAGTGTGCAAGGGATGGAAAAGGGAGAACACTGGCCTGGATATAGATGTTGAAGGATGGTACAAGAGTTTTTTTTACTGCTGTGTGATTTTGATGTAGCTGTGGGTCATGGCATGCACAGTTAGTTAGGGTTCATAATGAGGGATGTTAAGTACCAACAAATATGTAGGAGTCCTCTGTGAGGAAGCATATGCTGAGGCCTGAGGATGTTCCTTAGAAAACCATAATGTCCCTACCTCAGGGAGAAGCAAAATGATGGGACCAGCTCCAGAATGGTGGAAATGGAGAGCTGGGAGTCTGTCACAGCCCTCCCCTGGGGGCCACAAGACCAGGAGTGTTCCCACGGGGTTGTGGATCTTTCCTGGGAGGGATGAAGAAAGACAATAGTTTTTGAGCTGTCTGGAGCTTGAAATCAGATAGATTTCTGCCTGGTTGGAACAGCCTGGGCAGAGGAAAGGGTTAAAAGGAGGACAGTGTGGACAAAACTGCAAATAACCTATATCCTTTAAATCCTTGTCATGAAAAGTTTGGTACCCTTGCATAGTTTAACAGTGAGCTCTACTTTGATGTTTGAAAGTGCTAATCTCCCTTTGGAAGTGCACATCAGGCACTGTCAGACCTTCTCCCAGACACTTTTTAGAGGGAAACCAGCTCTTATGACACTGGAACCGGCTGGTGAAAGGGAAGTAACGTTTATTTCAAAGAACTGCAGCATGTTGGCCACCTCAAATTCTCACAGATTTGACACCTTTTTAGGCAGATTTAGCCCAAAGTAACTCAACCTGCTTTTCTAGTGACTGTTTGCAGCCCCAAGACGTATTCTTCCACTTTGCCTTTCTGAAAATTAGGCAATCCATTGAATCCTTGGTGGCCATGAAGACTTTTTTTCTTCTGTATGACCTCCTTTACCATGAAAAATCACAAGACAATTGTAATTTGAGCTACAGGAATAAATTCAGAATAGCTCTTTTGAAGTCAGCAAGCTACCTAAATATTGTCAAAATGAGAAGGACCAAAAGAGGCTACCTCCATCTTTTTAACCTTTTTTTCATTGATGAGACATCTTGTTAATTTGAGACCACTTTGGCCAACCCAAGTGCCAAAGGGTCATGCAGTTCTTGGTAGCTTGACTGCAGGGGCACTTCATGGGGAATTATGAGGAAAACCATGTTTTTTCCCTTTTTTTGGACACCAGTGGCCAACACAACAATGAGCAGACATAGCAAGGAATCTGTATTTGGTCAAAGTTTTGGTGGTTCCCTTGCTGCAGGGGGAGTTGGCTGGGGATCCACCATCCCAACCACTGCTGCAAGCAACAAACCCATCAGCACAGAGGTTCTCACGGCAAAGGATGGAGCCAGGACGCTGTGCACCATAAGCCTGGTGTCTATGGGTGCGTGTGACATGCTCAGTGTGCTCACAATGCTTTAGCAATGTCATGAAACAATTGGAATCTGCTGACCTGATGTGTCAGTGATGTAAAATCCATGTTGCTAAATGCTGCCTAATAGCTGGGGTAATAAAACCCGAAGCTCAGATCACACGGGGAGTTCCCTGCTGTCTGGCGTCTCTTGAAGCCGGCAGTGCTTGGGAGTGGGCAAACCCAGGAGCTGGGCTGGCATTTGGTTTCCTCTTAGAGCTGGTTGTTTCCTGCTGCTGCTTGAGCAGCAGACCTCTGACCAATGTCTGCAGCTGTGTCCATGTGCTTGGAGTCACGGTGGCCAGCCCAGACTTCTTTCTTCCGCTCCCTTAAATCTGTGACTTTTCCTTGGCTGGGGGTTCCTGGGCTGTGAGACTCCACACACTTCTGTAAGGACAAAGAGCTGCTTCTGCAGTCACATCTGGTCTCCAAAACCAGGGCTCCTTCGCAGTAACTCCTGCATTGTTTCCCTGTCAGCTGTCAGGGACAGAGCTGGGAACAATGGGTGCAATGGAGCCGCATTTCAGGAAAACATAGATCCTATTTATGTGGGCAAAACATGCAGGGTTTCTTGCTGAAAACCTTAAATGGTTGAAGAAGCTGCAACCTGAATTCGAGTTACTTTAAGAGACTGTGGCAATTTAAAAGGGATTTCAATCAACTCAAGCTAATTCCTCTGATCTTCTTCAATTGAAAATGCTTGGTTTAGCTCCTGTGAACAGGATCCAAGATCTCCTATATGAAGAAAAGATCGGGGGGGGGGGGATGAAAGGGAAGTAAAATCTGAAATTTTCATATAATCTTATATTATTAGAAATCCCCATGAAGACAATTATTCCAGTGGCACTGATATTTGCATGTACTTTGTTTCTCATAGTCACTTCTTGATTCTGCTTGGGCTGATTCTAGTTTGTTAGCTGAAGAATGTCAAAGATGAGAGAAGAAAGCTGCATATGTCATCCCCTGCCCCATACACGTTTTCTTGTTCACTAGCAAACCTCTCAAGCTTTGTGTTAATTCGTTTGTTTTCATTAGCTATTTGCTCTTGTATCTCATAGTGCCTTAAAACTATGCAAGCTAAAGGTTTAAATACTCAGAACAGTTTAAGGATCCTTGATTTACTGGTTGTTTTACTGTGGCTTCAGCTGTGAGAGCATTACAGGAGTAAACATGTTAGCAGCCCATCGAACTTGTGAGGCAGTGCCTTATAATGTTAGCACTGCTATTGGCTGTGCAAATCCAAATGGCTTCTTCAATAACATTTCTGACAAGAAAAATCACTCACACAAACGTAGTTGATATGCTTTGAATTTAATATCTTGTCCCTTGGACATAGTGCCTGAGGCTTGAAGCACAAACAAATCAGCCCTTCATAAGGAGTTGCTTATGCACTAAATCCTTCTTTTCCTTGGCTTTGACAAACATCAACAAACGTCTTGGCAGTAAAGTGCAAGAGATTACATGTTATATATGGGCGGCAAGCATCTAATGCAGTGGAGGGAGGGACCATATCTGTTCCTGATGAAAGCAGAACGCTAAGTGTTATGCAATTACTCTTGTGAAATGCACCCAGCACCAGTGTAATGGTCAAAACTAATGTTGGTGCTCACAGGTGTCTTGTCAGGGCTTGGAGAATGCAAATTGGTGGGCAAATGTTATAGCTTGATTGGAGCTTCTTCTGAGACATGATCTGCTCATTTCAGTACTCCTTTGCTGCCCCCTTCTCCTGTTCCCAGCTGTTTATGGCTCAGGCATAAAAATTGTTGGTTGAAAAGGACAAAGGCTTAACTGAAAAAACAAAACAGTTCATTGAAAATAATGTCATATTCTTACATTCTGCAATGCCTCTGCGAGGACAGTAATTGCTGTTTATTTTAGTGGCTAACTTATATGTTTAGAGAGATTATTTTTTTTCACATTGCAAGTAGGACATCACATACTCAAGTTGCTTGTCTTACTTTTCAGACCAATAAAACTCCCATAGATGAAAGCTTGTGTCATGTAAAAGAACTGTTGAAAAAGTGTTTCTGTGGACATAAAATCTGACATGATGATAATCTGAAACTGCTCACTCCCCAAGGATGACAAAACTCCAGCAACTTCAAAGCAAGGAAAGAATTGCCAGAGGGGAAATCGTAATTAAAATTAGATAACCTGTATGAAAAGCATCCAATTTGTAGTCTATAAAAGCTTTTGAGAACCACAGTTCTTCAGCCCCAGGACCATAGCTGTAACAATTATCTCAAGACTTTCACAGTGGAATCAAAACATGTTAATTTGTTAATGAGTCAGTATGTAGCATTAAGGAAAAGACTCTAACAAGGGAATACAAACATAAAGACTGTGTTTCTGTTTTTAAGCAAATGCACTGTTTAAGTGATGTCAAAGCTTTGGTCCCTGTGAAAGTTCCCCATCCCTTCCTGAGAAAGTGGTTTTGAATGGAGTGAATTGGCTCTTCCACACTTAATCTTAGCGAAAAGACCAAGAAGTGCGTCACTGAGCTGTGCAGATGGTATGGTTTCAACTCAAGCTGTTTCTGCAGGGATACCCGTCTTCTGTAATACCTGTGCCTGGGAGCAGTGATCGCCTCACACGCCTCCCATCCCAGCTGAGATCCCTTGACCCACTTCTGAGCCCCACTACCACATAACTTTCAAGTGGTAAAGTATGTGAAATGAGCAAAAGCAACCTCTTTAGGCTCTCCTCTGAGGTGAGATCTCAAAAAGAAGAAAGGAACCGTGAACCCATCCAAGAAGGTAGATTTCTTCTTGTTTCCCTGCTTCCCAGCAGTTTTTCGTCTACCCTCTGGATTGCAGCAGCTAATCCATAAATCTGGACTTCCCCCAAAGTGACCATACTGCTGGTGGCTGCTCTCCCAGAAAAGCAGAGATGGAGGCTTCCCAGTTACTGTGCTAACACAGCGCAGCAAAAATATTATTTCCAGCTAATTATTGTATGCCTCAGATTAGGAGAGGATTAAGGACTTCGTTCAGAGTTTGGGTTGTTGTGGAGTTGGAGGGCACTCCATTGTGCTGTGGCAGTCACTCTTAAAGTAAGAAGAGTTTAAGGTCTGAAGATAGCAATACTGTGAAGTAGTGCGAACTTGGGAGAAGTTTTAAGACCAAGATAGTTCTTTCCATCACTTGCCTGCCAAGTGTCCCATCACTAGACTTAGGAAAACCCCAACAGAATTTCTAGGAGGAGAATGTCTCCTCAACTGCCATGTTACCTGCAGCACTGGTAGCCCCAAGGAAACCCTGTGGTGTGATGGCAGGATGGCTTACCTGGAAATTAAGGACTCTGGGAGAACAAACTGATCTATCAATGCCCAAAAGCATCTGAGTCCCTTTTCTAGTATTTTTTGCCAGATCTTTTTTCTTTTCTATAGTCAGTAAAATTTGGGATATTAAGGTGCATTGAATTCTGCCTTCATCCCACTCATCTGTGCTCTTTCCAGGTCTGTCATTTAGATCAAATCCTATTTGCTGTTCTGTCCTCATTCAGCAGCTTGTAATTTTCATTTTTCAATGAGCCACAGGGAACTATATAGTATTCACACAGAAAAGTGTGTACCGTACCATTGCAAGTGAAAGCAGTATAGGTACCCACCACACTTTACTAAGGAGTTGGCAGACCAGAGAGGTTAAAAGGGCTGGAGAGAAGAGTAAGAATAGCAAGGGTGTAAGTAGTGATCTTCTGGGTCTGAATCTCGTGATCAACCAGAGCAGACTTCTCTTTAACCTGGGATTAAAAAAAAGGCTAATGTACAAGGTTACTTCCCAAGTGAGCCATTTCATTACCTTTCATAACTTCACAATGTGATAACAATCAGGAGGACTAGATTAGATCTTTTCCAGTTAAGAAAACAGGGAGGAGGTAATTGTTTTCTCTGCCTTCCTCCAGGTGACTTGGTAATCCAATGTGTTGTACTTGACAGTGCGGAAACGCTGCACATCTTCCTAAATGCTCTTACACATGACCTATGCTTGCAAGCACCTATAGTGATAAAATATTCATTATATCATGTTTGCTTAAGGCAAAAAATATACTGGTGATCTGATTTAAATGCATGGAGTTATCACATGCTGGTCTCTATTTATGGGAGTAGCGTCTCTGGGTACTGCTATTATTAGCACTGTTGTGAATGCTATTTGTGCTTTCTTGCAACATGTTCCATTTAATCTAACATCCCAAGGCACTTTATGAAAAAAGTTGTTCCATATCAGTACTGTCAGGTGTAAATAAATAGTCTTCCAGCCAGGCATTTCCCTTCACCTGGGATCTGCAGGCTGCTGGCTACTGCATGGATCCAGAAAGCAAAGGAGTCAACTGCCAGGTTCTTTACCTTTCTGAATCTTATATAAGGAAGACATTTCATCCCTTCCATGAGTTCTCCCATTGTCAGGCTGTGCAAGATTCAGGGGACTCAGGTGGAGCATAAAAACTTTTTTAACTCACTGCTGGGTACAGACCAAGCACAGCAGTTTGGTTATCAGGCAGCCCAAAGCAGGTCAGAAGAATTGCTGGACACCCACAGGTCATGGCCAGGCACAGGCTGGTGAGATCCTCTTCTGTCTGGTCTAACTGGTATGCTATGGATGGCTGGATTCCAACTCCACACCAGACCTTGACTTTTGAATGCCCATGCATTCTGCTTTCCAAACTAAGGAAATGCAGATACACACTCTAGATGGGAGGAGAGGGTGGGGGACTCAGCTCATTTAAAATGGAAACAACAGAATCATATCTGTGTAACTAGGTGCTGTGGATTTACTCGCAGAGCAGGATGGGAGATAGAAATTGGGGCTTTTCAAGGATTCTGTCTTTTGAAGTATTTTCATCTGTCAAGCCAAGCAACCTGGTCTAGCATGAGGTGTTCCTGTCTATGGCAGGAGCTAGATGATCTTAAGGTCCTTTCCAACCCCTACCATTCTATGGTTCTGTGATACTAAGTCCCCCCTTGATGATGCACAGTAGCTGGCATGACTTTGATGCATAGGAAAAGGCCATGCAGCACCACTGCCAGTGCATAAATTGCTGAGGAACTGTGAGAACAGAGGCCATCAAAGTGAGTTCTCCCATGAAGTAAATATAATCAATTACAACAATGTGTGCCAGAAACTTAAATATCTTGGTCAAGACTTCCATTCAGCAAATAGGGATAGCAATGCATACCTGCTTCAAAGAGGTGATTTTAATTATGCCTAACCAGGGACAAATATGTCTCCTTTTTCATTTGTCTTTTTGCTCTGGCCTGGAAAGAGGTAATTCTACTGGGCTTTATTATCAGCCTTCCCATTGCTCTACATAGAATGCGGAGGGTCGTACCAATCCCCTGAATCATTCACTCAGCAGCATTGTTTGGGTTTGGTTTAGGATGTTTCTCCAATTCAAGTTGAGGCTGGTTTGATGTTTTGCTGTTCAAAGTTATTCACCACCCAGCCCTTTTGTGGCTCCATGGAGTTCAGAAGTTGGCGCTGGAGCCATGTGCTGTATCTGAGCTTTCACAATAGCAGCCAAACAAATTAATCTTTCCAAAAGATGCAATGTGGAAGACTATTGCGCCTTCTATTTTTATAGCAGTGTTTTTGCTTTATTCACACTCAGATTTTAGGCGTCATTCGGTGCCATTTCCCTGCCTTGAATACTGAATAAATCCTT